GAGTGATGTAATGCGGACGCGGCGCCACTCGCTGTCACTCTCACGCAGGGACGCGTTTTTGAACTTTGTGGTGAGGGCACCTGGAAAGGATCGGGATTGCGTTATCAGGGGCTTACGGCTCGGTCGCGCGCTGCCGCTGTCGCTGTCGTCAGAACTGACGTCGGCAGGGTATGGACCCAGTAGTAATTCGTCTCCGATTGACAATGAGCCGTAGCGGATGTAGCCACCGATGATGGCACATTGCTCATCCGGGGCATTCGTACCCACGCTGTAGACATCCTCGATGTAGAAGAGCGGCGATGGTGACTCAGGCGGTGGCTGCTCTGGTTGTTTGGGCATAGGAAGCTTGCGCAGGAACGCATGCAGTTTCTGTATTCCTGTTCCTTTGACTGCACTGGTGAGCACTACAGGTACTGCTGCGAGAGGAGAGTCTTCCAGCAGGCAAAGTGTCTTTTCCGTTTCCTCAAGATCGGCTGCTTCAACTGTATGCAGATCAGCTTCCAGCACTGCTGTCGAAGAGTCAGTGATGAGACAGGGCTTCCTGTTGTTCTCTCTCAGAGCCGAAAAGAGTTTGACTAAAGTACTTTTGAGCCCGTTCTTGGTAGCAAGATCATACTTGGTGATGACGATCACAAGAGGTAGCTCTAGAGCAAGACACAGTTCCAGGTGTGCATGGGAAAGGTCAAGATCTGCCGCAGCTGGTCCAAGCAATTCTTCTGACGTAGGCGATGCCCCGAGCTTGCCAGAGGAGTCTTCTGTATTATCTGCAGGAACGCATAGAAGCGTCCAATGTGGTTGCCTGTACCATGTCAGCGCTACTCAAAATACGAAAATAGAGCAAACCAACCAGCCAACAATTCCACGAACAGTGGTACGTCTGAATCGGGGATGACCGGCAGAATCAGAGAGAAACACAAGTCTGCCGCTTTCTACAGACTCGACTGCGGCATGAATATCTATCCAGGACGATACATCTCCAGACCCGTAGCTGATGACTTGCGTGTGATCGTCCGCGTCACGGTATCCTATCAACTCTTGGGTAACAGAGCTGGTCATGCCTGATGCAATCTCATGTCTATGCTTGAGTAAACTGAGACGACTTTTGCCACGGCCATTATCCAGTGTGGCGGTAGAAAGCGTTCCAAGGAGAGTGGATTTCCCAGACATAGTGGCCCCGGTAACTGACACCCGCATCTGCTCACTGGTAGCCTGTGGCGCCTTGGCTAAAGCTGCGTTGCTGTCTGCTGCATTTGACGTATTCTCATAAGCACCGTCACGATCCTTCCTTGTGTGGTCCACCAGATGCTGTTCTGGGCGCACTAGAGCCTCGGCGACCAATAGCCGTGATCTTTGTAATCTTTGCTGTGCAGTGCCTGCATCTTCAACCCATTCACACTCGCCGACCGGGACTCTACGCAAGACTTCTACCCCACAGCCCAAACTCGCAGCCATGGCACGCAAGTTGTTCAGACTCTCTTCCATCTCATCCTCTGCCAAACCAACAATACTTCCGTCATCAGCGACACCAATCTCGTAGAGCGCACCCTTGCTCTCCTCAAGCCCAGGGAGAAGCCGTTGTGGCATTTCAGGGGCAGAGAGGCGTGCATCGTCCGGGAAATGGGGAAGTACAGAAGCTGTGGATGAGGATATGTGATAAGGACATGATTGTTGCAACCGCCATAAAAGCTGCGTTGTCAGCTGCTCAAGACGATGCTGCTTTGACTGCGTAGAAGCCAACGGTGGGGGAGTATTTTGAACGAGGCCAGACTCCGATACGCTACGACCCACCGCTCCTGGTATAGGAATGTCACTTCGGCGCGTAGACCCAGACATATGCCGGCCATTGGTGGTTCGAGTGAACGAACGTCTCCGCCTCAGAAGTAGATGTAGCTTATATTCCGTGGGACCATCCTGAGGCTCTGCCTCTAACCTAGTAATATTTGTATAGTCTACCGCATTGGCTAGAAAATCTCCGTGTGGTCCCTGATGCTCGCCATCGCCGCTGGTTCTCGAAAGAGGAGACTTTGTCTTTTGGTAGGTATTCGATGGTTCCGTCAGGTCGCCAACTGAAGTTGCCGCCCATGGCGATGAAACGCGGGGCGGGTCGGGGTCGAAAGTGAATATAGAAGCCATGTTGTTGGTATTGTAGTTGGGCGCAAATTTGGAAACGTCCAACTTTCTCTGTATTAGTTGGAGGATGATCTCAAACGTTCCAAACTTGTCAGATGGTGGGTTAAGGCGTTCTTTTAGCAGAGACGGTGTGTAAACGTGGTAACGATCGCGAGTTAGTATGTAAGAAGTGCGTCCGGAATAATTGCGATAAAAGAGGAAGCATTTTGACGGGTGTACAGCACAAGTAATGGGTGAGACTTCGTCAAACGATAGCTAGAAACAGCTCGTTGGAGAGCCGCGTGAAGATGCCAATGAGGCGATCACAGACTGAAGGAAGACATTTGTATATTCGATTCAGCAAAATGGTGAAGCAGGTGACGGCAAGCGATATGGTGGTATGAGACAGTCACCAAAGGTTACAAGTATCAACTTGTCGTGGTGTTAGCCAATGGTCCGAGCTCGGGGCTGCGGGGAGTCACCGTTCAGTGGGGCAAGCCATCATCCATCGTTGCTAGGCTCCCGTGTGAGTCGTGACAAGACGCAACGCCCTTCTATCGCCCTTTGGCTGCGCATCTGAGTGCTCAAATCTTTACGAAATCCGTGGTCACTTGTTATGAGCTGGTTCGATGAGTATGCCGTGTTCATCATCTCTCAAGGTAAAAGGGCTGCTAAAGCATTCACATCCCCCGTAGTTGTCGGATTCAAGCGCCTTTCTACCTTCTTTTACCTTGAGTGTCATCTGTGACTATTGTAGGAACATCAGGTCTGGTTATACAGTAGAGTCGAGTCAACCAGTGACTCCTCCCTAGATCTCGCTGGAGTTGCGTAGCATTGCGGCGCAGTAGACGATGTTATTGCACTCGGGGTCCCAGATCTTGCCTGACTTCTATACCCGTCACAGCGGGTTCTTGACCGGAAAACCGGCAAGTCAATGATGCTCCAGACCGTCGTCGTTGTGGACACTCTGTAATACCCCAGGGGACAAAACAGGCCGAAGCAGAAGTATGGGCACGCATTGGCCACTCATGTCTACTTTTGAGCCTCGGTGGCACTAATATGCATCAGCATCACTGCAGGTGCCGAAGAAACACCAGTTCTAGTATATGACTCCAGGGGCTGGCGCAGTACTTGTTTAGTAAACAGAGACCAAATGACTTGGTAGGCAGGCATTGATTGGCTGTGAAGTTGTCTCTTTTCTGCATGAAGCAGGTGTTGCGGCATAGTCAAGTCGGCGCTGTTTCACTGAGATTTTCCTTCGTACTCATATGTGTCCCTGTTGGTAGTAGTATGCTCTGAAGCTGCCAGCCATGAGCACAAGACTGAGACATGCTGACTGCATAGCACAGCACATAGAAATGGAAGATGCCGATGCTGCCGCAACCACATTCAAGTCGCAGCCGGCAGTAGTAGTGGCCAAAGAGGCAGCGACTAGCATACCGCTTTCGGCCGTATCGTACCCTGTTACGTCTATAATTGCGGGTCTCCTAGGTCGCACTGCAGTAGCAGGCAGTCTCTTGCAACCATCGACTGCTTGCAGCCGCTTCGTCTCACAGTCAACCATCTCCACGCGAAGACGGCTTCCCTGCAAGCGCCCTGACCGTTTATAGGCAGCGAACGGCAACGGATATTAGCCGGCTTTCTCGAAGGTAGCACGGCAGCCTGTCTGAAGCGGCATAGCCAACAACCGAGTAAGTATTTGCAAGCTAAATCCATGGTTCTGGGGTCTGGTGTATCCAGGGAACATGCAGGTAAGCCTCGTGCGGCGCCCACGAGGTCACCACATGGGTTGTATACTCGGGCCATTGCTCCCTCGCGCGATGGGTTACCACGCGAGCGAGTATGCAAGTCAGTTGCTGGCGATTCAATCGCCGTCATGGTCTGGCTGCAGTGACCGTTTCAAGTCTCTGCCAGGGAACGGGTCGCCTATCATGAGCTTCACAGGCCTTTCTACCCTAGTGTATATCACCTGCGGTGCGGAGTCCCAGAGATGCACATCCAGTTCGGTTCTGGAGAGGTTCCCGGCGCCTTTTGCGCGTCTGGATCACCTTGTCAAGGCGCTTAACACGAGATGAGGCTGGTCCCCCGCCTGTCCCGACTGCCCCCTAGGATAAACTTAACGCACGCATGCACGTACTTACTTACTGTGATGTCGCCGCTTGGTCGAGATCGTATGATACAGACGTAGCGAATGTCCATCACTTCTTGGCCGCACCATTTTGCATTTTCTTTCGTATCAGGTCGAACAATCAAGGCCATGGTAATGTGGGGCCTCTTTCAGGCAACCGACCATACTACTCTAAGTAGACCATACGACTCAGACGTTTTGAGATGGGCCAAGTCGACAAGGGCTGCAACTGTGCCGTCGGCGCTTGCACCCTGACACGGTGAATAGTCCGGCGACGAGAAAAAAACTCCCCACGGACAATTGTTTTGCGCCATTCGCTGGGTGTGGGCAAGAGAGGAAAAAAAGTGGGCAGTCCGATATCTGGGTCGCGGCACTCTCGGTCTCCGCACAACGGCGGAGCTTGGTCGCAATATTACTAGGGCCCCCTTCTCTCGATCTTGTCAATCACATGCTGTATTTTAACGTCATAGCCGGCTACCGGATAATGTCCGGTCATTCTACCGCGCTGGTGCAACCCGCCAGAGGCCTCGTGTCCAAGTGTGGGAACTCTTTCTTCGCCTAACGATACATGTCGTCTGTCGGGTCACCAGCTCTCTTTACGCCACGTCTGTCTCTCTCTCCTTCTCTGTCGTATCCCTGCGGGAACTTGGGTCGAGGGATCAAGTGACTGTCATCCTTCCCGCGCAGCCGCTCCCCCGCCGGCTTGACCCTTGCAACGCTTCTCGCCTTAAAGTCCACACGTCAGCAGAGGACTCGGGTCAGCATGTCGCGGTGGGGCGAGAGTGGGTGGGAAACAGCCAAGGCCCTTCTCCCTCGGCGCGTCTGTTCAATATCAAGCCCGAACCAGCTGGACCGGGATCCCGAGTGGTTAACAATCGGAAGCTACTATTGCGCGCAGCACTCAAGCGCGCATAACCAAGGGGTGGATTCCGAGGCTCTGGTTCCGATGGAGGCCCTGAGAATCTGCAGGGTAGCCGTCCGGTTTGCTGCGCGTGAGAGATGAAGTCTTGCGCCAGTCGAGATAGCTGCGGTCCGCTCCTGGATGTAGTGCTGCGGTCCGCCCTCGTAACCTCGCCTGATGGCCAATGAGCGCCGCTACAGCAACCATATCTGTTCGCAGATTCCTATTCGAGTTTCAACCGCGAGGCGCTGTCTTCAGCTGCAGTGACAGTCTTGGCAGCATGCACGCTGAAGCTTCAATCACCTTCTCGACGCAATTGGCGTCGAGCGACGCTGAACTGCATACCACTCAAGCTGTCTGTCAGACCGGAAATGCCCGCATCACCGGTGCTACCCACCTATGCATGCATCTGTCTACGCCATGCTGCGGTAGATTTGGTGTTGCAATTGCCAGCCCGCAACCCCCGATAGCCACCCACCCAACGCGGCTAACGGCTTCCGAGACAAGGACGACGTTCAAGGCAGTTAGTCCCAACTATTGTCCCGCTGCCCGGTGACGAACAGGGCGACGACCAGCCCAGGGAATTTTGCATACCGTACGTATGTACTTACATACAACCAACGGATGGCAGCACTGCAGAGATGCTCATGTCCCAACGGCATGGTTCACTGGCGCACGTTAGTCGCGCATGTCATGGTTGCTGACTCTGGGAGGCTCCGGATACAGTCAGAAGAAAAAACGTGCCGCGTCTGATTGGAACCCTCGCCGTCATCGCTTCACGGCTGGCCGCTCACCTGGGCGGTGGATGCCATGCTCCTGTACGAGGCCTCTCCCGCCCTCAAGTCGTGGCGACAACGGCCCGCTCGTCTGATCGTTACTCGAATCTGACAGAGGGACCGTGCGGCCTTTTAGTCGACAGCCTCGCCCGCCTGGCCTTGGCTAATGTAATGCAGTGTGAAAACGAGTCTGGAATTGTTGGTGCGCATGCCCTTGAAATTACGTCCAAGCGATTTCGCGCCTTTGGAGTCTATTCGACGGCATTTCAGTCGCTGAATAAGTCTCTACCTCGGCATTGCCTAAATTTTTGCTATGTCGGTTTAGCGTCCATGGTGCGTTTTTTTGCACAAGCTCCCTTTGCGGACCCTGGGTTGAGATGGTAGACCGTGTCAGCAGCGTAGATGTGTTCTTTTACGAACCAAATAGCCGGGTTGGTCCATGGGGGGCAGGGGAAGAATCCCCAAGCAGCAAGTGTTCCGTGTTCCTGCTTTGCTGGTTCCTGCAAAAATCCTCCCGCTGCGATCTCTGAACGGACATGCGGCCACCACTCTGCTTCCCCGAGGGCCGTATTCCCCGCCACGCGATGCCAGGAATTTGACCAAACTTAGTGCTTGAGTGAGCCATTGTGCGAGAGAATGTGGACATTCTAGGCTCGACACATCCTTTGTCCCCTTGTCCCCAATTGCGTCCCCTCCAAATTCCACGTACATGATATGATAAGAACCAAAAATATGATGATAAACTGTGAGTTACAAGAAACATAAACCCGTATGCATTGCTGGCCGCTGAACGCTTGATATATAACGCCTGGTGATGCTCCTGTTAGACCAATAAATCCCCTCCCACAACCCGAGGATGCACAATGAGAAAAACCGCATGCGCAAGGCTGGAATTGCAGTTTACAAGGCCCAATGCCTTGTCTTCCCGAGTGCCTCTCACTCAGCCAGCTGGCTTATTCACAGAACGACGGGAGCTTCCCTCGCACGCTAGCGTACTGACACACATCTCCGCTTCGAGACATTGATAATCCGTGTCCCGGTATCTGATAATGTCGGGATTGCGCCGACTATGTTTGCGCCTCACGGCCGCTTGCAGCAAGCTGAAAATACCTAGACAAATCGAAGGTTGAGACAAAGATTCCCCGTCTATCCGGTTGCTTCTGATGGCCTGCGTGGCTTGCATTTGTCATGCGCCATGTGTCCGTTTCTTGCAGTAGTGCGGGTAAACTCAGCCCCGCATCGGGGGCAGGTGCTCTTAGAGGCAGTTCCGGACTTTTCTCGCTGGTGCCGCAGCAGATTACTGAATGTGGAAAATTGTCGTCCATTGCATCCATGCTCCCAGCATTGAGGTTTCGGTCGTGAGTTGATGACTCGCGGCATTACTGGGTTGCCTTGCGTGCTTGGCGACGAAGAGAGTGCAGGGACTGACGCACTGGAAACTGGAGCGCTCGATGGTGAGTCATAGGCTGCGTATGTAGCAGGCGTTGTGTTGTTTGGTGGATACATAGTCGGTAATGGATGATAGTCACTGACGGCATAGGAGCTGGGAGGGTAAAGCTGTGGTCTATCTGCTGTTAGTGAAAAGCGAACTTGATGCGCTCGACAAACTTACGGTGGGTAGGCACTGCCCCCCAGCGGCTGATTGGGGATGGTACTATGGGACGTGGAGTAAGTGTAGGCGTGCGTGGTGTTACCCAAAGAGGCTGTGTTGGCTCGCATGTGATCCGATGAGTGTTGCTCATATGGGCTTCGCGGAAGTGAAGGGTGTTGAGGTGGGTAGGGCGGTTGGACTGCGTGTTGTTCGTTTCTTCTTTGTTGACTTTCATTTGGGGTTGGACTGGAAGAGTAAGGTGGGCCATATGGACCTGGCGCCGAAGCCCTTGGTTCTCCATAGGGCTGGGGCGGCGGGTAGCCAGGCGCGTAAGACGTTTGGGAAGAACCGTAATGGCCCATACCATATTGCGAAGAAGGCATCATGAAGCCCAAGGTGCTGTGTACATGAGATGCTGTTCAATCACAACAGTCGGCAGGGTCTCTCGTACCTCATATCTTGTGACTCGAGGATTGGCTCGTGTGGCTGCTCAAAGTCTGCCAGTGATTGAAGTTGGAGGGATTGGCCGATAGATGTAGACAACGACGGCGACGTGGGGTTTTGTTGACTTTGTGTTGGCAGAATATGATCAGTCTGGACTATCTGGTTGCTAGCAGTAGGCACAACTGTCGAGTCTGAGCCTGGATGAGATTCGTGGAGAGAGAAGTGTGCGGTTTGCGCGCTCGCGGAGTCCAAGAATCGATCCTGGGCAGGGGAAGTTGGCTGAGAAGAGCGATTGTGTGAGGTGTCGTCGAGAATGTGTGAGGTATTCCAGGCTAGCGAAGGTGGGTGCGAACCGGGCGTCTGATAATCAATGGGATTGTGGCGGGGCGTTGGCAAGGTTGCGGCACGGCACGAATAAGGCCCCCTTATTTGTGGAATTTCTGGTGGCTGAACAGACAAATGCTGCTTGGCACGGTCCCTAAGTCTTCGTGAGATGGTCGTCGTCTTGGGTTGATGTGGGTTGGAAGACCAATGGGTCATGTTCAACAGCGGACAGGCACCATTGGACATGAAGGGGAGCAGAAGGGGGTAAGACGTACGGTCTGGTGCGTGGACAGGCCCCGTCGTGTGGGATTATACGAGCCTTATGGGCAATCTACACCAAGGCAGAATTACCATTGAAACCCTGATGTTGGAACATGGGCGAGTGGTGTGCTTTGTTGCATGGGGGACGCCTGGAAATACAGGAACACGGTATCTGAGCTTCATGACCCAACAGAGGCAGAGCGCTTTTCCCGGCTTTGCGGCTGGGGGACTGATTGGAGCCTCGAAGGATGCGCAGCCCGGTCTTTGACAGTGCTAGCCCTCCGGCCGTTGACTAGCCACAGAACACGCACCCGCAATACCTGGTGTAGGCCGGGGTGTCCACACATCAGTAAGTATTGCGCGATTGTCTCAAGTGGGGTGATGGCAGGCATGCTTGCCCTGCTCAGTGAGGACTAGATTGTGGTCATGATCCAGAGCGTCAACCTGTTTTCGACGGCCATTCGCTGAGAGGAGCCGGATGGCCACCCCCCACTGGGGACGACTGGCATGTGTGTGTACGGCACTGGGAGGGGAAGTTATGCGAGCACTGACGAACGCACTGAGGTGCCATGTCGAAGGTTGGTGGCGTTTGTGGTTTCCCGCTCGAGACGAAGAGCCAAACCGCGTCGAGTCTGGCCCTTCTGGACGGCGCGGCCTGTCCAATCTCTCTGCGCCAGGCCAGGGTGGGCCGGACGTGTAAGTACAAGGCGGAAAGTAGCTGTGGACGAGTGATTTCGGCATAGACGGCCTGGACAGGAACATGGCGGGCGTGTGAGGACAGAGCTGGTGCCGTCGAGGCCTTGGAATACGGGGGTCTGGCACCGCCACAAAGGGCGCCTGTTGCCTATCCTCAGCGTGGCCCCCCAGGCGGCGAGTGTTTGCGCGCAGAGGGTTTCTATGTTTGGCTCGCTACTAGAGTAAGTACAACTATGGGCCGAGGGCGTGCGTCGCCCAAGCGGCCCGTTGTTATTCGGAAGCGGTGCCGTTGCTAGCATCGGCAGGCGGTCGGCACGCCTTCGGGCATATGACTGTTCCCAGTACATGGGAATCGATGTATCCAGGGCAGCCTGCGGTCCCTTCCACCCACCATGGCCGGATGCGTCGATGTTGGGCTGCACTGCAAATGCCCTGTTTCGCATGCTTGGGGTCCATCGTCTTCTGGCGACCCCACCGCACCCAGCTGAGGCCCGTGGCCTGACGTCGCCAGGGCGCCTGGGCGTGGCATGTGTATGTGTAAGTGTGCATATGTGTGTATGAGCATGTGGGTCCGCGGTGGGTGGGTGCATGTGTGCGTGTGGGTAGTGGACTGTAGTGGTGGTTACATGTTCGAAGACGCATCGCCGGCTGTGCCTCTGCGACGACATGGACAGTCGCAACGGCAGCCGCGCGGAGACTGCCGGGCGGCACCAATGCAAATGGCCATGGCAACGCCAGTGCCAAGACACGCTACATGTCCGTGGCGCGCCTCTTGTGGCCGTGATGACCCCCAGACACAACCACCACCACCACCACGTCAAGCCCGCCACCAGCGTCGACGCCGCAGAACAGCGGGGCCAGTGCGCCAGGCCTGACTTGGACGACGACGACTCGAGCCGAGATGGCCATGAGTCGGACCACAGCAGCGGCCTCAATTTACACCGATCTCCAGGCGTCCCAGGTTCCCAGTGCGGGTAAGTAGTACACACGACGACTGTACGATAGGCGCGCTCCTTTGCCCCGGCCTCCATGGCCCATTCATCTCGTCTGCTTATGTATGGACCACCATGCCCAAGTCGCTGCTCCATTGCAACCGAGCCCACCACCACATGCCATCACCGTGACGAGTGCATGAGCGCCACGCTACCCACTTGCACCCATACATACTGCTTATTGACAACCAGCCTCACCGACAACAAGGCGCGCTGCACAGTCGACAGTATCATTACCGTGTTACATCATGTTCTGCCGGTCCTAGTGCCATGCGGCTGCCGAAGAAATCATCGGTCTCATGGCAGCTGAGACGGCCCAACTGCGTATCTGACACTTCGCAAGTAGTCCCACGATAAGGCATCCAGCCGTTATTACAAATGAACGCCGAACCCCCACTCTTGTACCGACACGTTCAGTCCGTCCCCGCAGATGTCTTGCATAGCGTTACTTGCTGCCAGGAAAAATGCATCCGACTCAGACATTCATCGAGTTTTAGTTTTCCGCGCCAATGTCTCCGCAGACCATCTCTTTCCAGCTTCATACCAACTATGTAGAGAGCTAGTATCCATCTCACAAAGCCATACCCCACCCATGATAGACCCCGTATGCACAAGAACACAACAACTCAATCTCCCTTTCCGCCTCCTCCTTCCACCTTTGGATAAACAAGGAAAACAAAGACCGAGTACAAGCTAGACTCATCGCCAGTCATTCTACCAATCAAAACACCACAAAAAACTACAAAGTTTGATTGGATATCTACCCGTCACTTACCATGACTAGCAATCTACTGTTTTGTCTCTCCAGCTGCCTGCGCCGGCAAAGCTGCCAGCGCCCTCTTGAACGTATCCACCAACTTACTCGTTTCCTCCAATCCCACACTGAAACGAATAAGATCTGTTTCCACACCCCATTTGGCACACTATGGCAAGCTTGTTAGCGACACATCTGACACACTTCACTGAAATTCGGAACACTTACCCAATCCAACTCTCCATAGTGTGCAAGAATCACATATGGCGAGCTGAGCGTAAAGTTTGTGCCCAGGCTGGGTCCCTTGACAGTGTCGAGATTGTCGAAAAAGGCAATGGCGTCGGCTCTGGTGTGGAATATTGCAGAGAGCAAACCGCCATAGCCGCCAGTGGGATTGCGGCATCTATCGTAGTAACGGCGCGAAGGCGAGATTTTGGGATAGTTTACTTGTTTGACTATGTTGCTTGACGTTAGAGCGACTCGTATGAAACACAGTCAGTCGAACAGGCCAAAACTTACCACGCGGATGCGAGCTCAGCACGTCACAAATTGCCTCTGCATTGGCATTGATACGGTCGATTCTCGAGACGAAATCTCGGCTGTTGCGCTCGAGGAAAATGCTGTCTTCGGCCCAGTGGTTGTCTTCGTAGTCCTCTTCCCAGGTGCGTTTGAGGAGAGAGTAGTCTTTCGCTTTTGGGTTGAGTACAAGGCTGTGACATGTCAGTTGATATTCGTTGCAAACAGGAGTTTGTCTGTACTAACCCTCCACCCATGACATTACAGTCCCCACTGAAGACTTTAGTCAAACTACTGACTACAACGTCTGCGAACTGCAACACATTGACATTGATGAAGTTTCCAATTGTCTCATCTACAACGACGCAAAAATCATACTTGTCGGCTAACTTGCGTATCCGCTCAAGATCAGGCGACGTCAAAAGAGGATTTCCGGGAAACTCTGTGAACAGAGCTAGAAACCTCTCGCCGCCCTCCAATCGCCGTTCCAGATCGTCTAGTTCTTCTGAGGAGCCAAAGCCGTAGAATTGAGAGCCCGGGCCAAACTTTTCAGTAATCTTGAGTGTGTCGATGTAAGGAAATCCGTACACAATGGCTTTTCTCGAGCCTTTTGCCCTTAGTAGGTTTCGATGAGAGTTGAAGATTGCGCTCATTCCGGTCGGATACAGATAGACATCGTCTTCTGAAAAATCTGCAACTGGTCTAGTCCTTGCAGCATCTTGGTCCAGACTCATCGCCTCGGCCAGTTCGACATCTGCGGTAAGGGAACCCGCAATACGTCTTCGAACTGCCAGCTTGGCTTTCTTGGTCTTGGAGAGGTCCAGGTTGCGTCCGAATCTCTCTTCTACAAACAGAGTTGGATCCTGCACTTCTCCGCTGCCGTTTACAGAATCAGTCGAAGGAGCGAGGTCGACTGACGTGTTCTTCTGGTACCGCCGGGGACCTTTGGGTGCCCTCAGTGGCTCGTTGAGCGTTGAAGCTTCTACTAGGGTACCTTCTCTGAATAACTGGGCGCAGAACTCTGCTCTCCGGCTCGATACACCGTCACCAGAATGCTGCCAAAAAGCCTTTGCTGTGCTGAAGCGATCCTTCGGAAAGAGCACAGCAGATACTTTAGGAGATATGACGTCGAATTCTTTTGATCTTGCCTTCTCACCCGTTGGTAAGAAGTCGAGAATCCGGACTTGCGATGCATCCAGATCAGGCACTTGTCGAAAAATGAACTCCTGGCATCTCGATGCGGTGGAATGTGTGGGAAACAACATGGCACTCTCATCTTCACGTCCGTGTTTCTGGGCAATTGCAGCCGCAAATGCTTGTATGCTTTTGTGAATGAAGAATCTGTCTGCGGTCAGTGATATGGTTGCTGTGTGCCTCGCCACCACCTACCTCGGATATCCCGTCTTCAACTTGCTGAGAACCCATTCTTCACCTTCCTCATAGCCTACATTTGCCCGCCATGTTGGTAGCGAAACACTCACTGCCTATCACGTGTTAGATCAAAGAGCAGCGTTGGGTAACGAAAGGTACACGCACGTGCTCGGTTGCCGGCGGGAGACTCTCGCCGATTTCGACGTCGTTTTCGAGTAACATCGGCGACATTTTTGAGTGTGTCAAGAACAAGGAGAGAGTTGTGTAAAACTCGACGACGGAAGGCAAATCAGATATGTATGGGGCAATGAGTCCAGTCACCCAAGAGATTATACCAAAAGCCGGCTAGCTCCGACTTCGGCACTTGGAAAATAAGGTTATCGATAATGCAAACAGTCAGTTTCTCCGAGTCTCTGCCCGCCTTTCGGAGTGTCGGTGCATCCACTTTGTGCACTTCAACTGCGACGTAGTACATGCTCACCTTAGCCCCACCCTGGAGTTGCGAGTTGCTCACCAGGGGCTTTAGTCTAGCATAGCCTGAACTCGCTCAGCACCGCCAACACAGGCCGCACCACTTTCTATACACAGTCATGGATTCGCTCACACCCTCGGACCTCTTCTCACCCTCGAAGGCGCGCCAGCAACGCGCGCAAGCCCAGGACTGGGCGCAGATTGACTCGTGGCTGTCGTACAAGTATGCTGGGCGTACGGTGCCGGCGTTTGAGCGCAATGACGAAACACTCAAGGTGCTGCGTGAGCTATCAGTAGCCAACGAAAGGGCTGATGAAGAGAGAGCCGTGTTCGAACGAGTAGAGAGAGAGGCACTCCGCGAGCTGGACGAGGTATGAGAGCTACAGGGTCCGCTTCAGCTACCATGTCCCGAGCACGCTGCTCACAACGGTAGGTCCAAAGGAACGACGACGACGAGCGTATATTGTCTAGGCTGAGGGCCAGTCTCACACCCGAGGGCGAGCAGGCGCTCGATGCGTTGGCCTCGACAGCAGTCACTCTTAATACACCCACTGCGAACCCCGAGTCGATCGCACACGTTCTTATCTACAACACGACCACCTCACAGAATCTCACCAACCAGCTCGCACACATCGCGACGCTGCAAGGCTACGTCGATAAGCAACAATCCCTGCTTCGGACGCAACTGCACGAGCTCCAGACGAATCCTGCCTTCACAACCCCCGCGAACCTCCAACGCCAGACCACCGAGCAAACGCGTCAAGTCAAGCACCTTCGCACCAAGATACGAGAATACGAGGACAAGCTGTCGTCCCTCCAGTCATCACAGTCGCGCAGCATGACACCGGGTTCCAAGAGCATTGCGTCTGCAGAAGCTATAAATGACATGTTGGAGCAACAAAAAGCCCTGGATGGGCTTCGAGAGAAGGTAGAAGGCATAGAGAGGGAGGTCGCAGAGTTTGCTGGATTGCCTGCCGATAAAGAGGCTGCAAGGAAAGAAGTTGGCAAGTTAGAAGTCAAACTTGACGAGGTGCGAAGGCGAAGAGACGAGTTATTTGAGGGATTGGTGACACAGTAATGGTACAAATGGATTCATCATAGGGTGGCTCACAGTCCCCGCATGTGCAGGCTCAAGCTTCTGTCCGCTAGGATTTGTTGTTGAAACATCCATTTTGACCAACTTACGCAGGCGCATCCGTCAAGGGCACGTACTGCACGCCATATAGTTTCTGACGCTCGAGGCTTCCATCCGCTCGCTTGTCGATTACCCAGATATGTTGCGCCCAGCCCTCTGCGACGGGCACGAACAAGCGCCCTGGTGCTTTGAGCTGGTCGGTCAGGACCTGGTGGTGCTCGGCCGCCGCAGCGCCAACATGGATAGCGTCGTATGGTGCACCCTCGGCCCAACCTTTTCGTCCGTCTCCAGTGACAAACTTGACTTGTCCCGACTCCAACATCTTCCGGCCTTGGTCCGACTTGGACATGTTGGCTATTGCCAGATCGTTCAAGGGCTGAATGTGATCAATGCCAATTACCGTCCCGTTGGGCGTGACAAGGTTGGCGAGGACTGCGGTTAGGTAGCCTGAGCCTGAGCCGACATCTAAGACCTTGGATCCAGGCTTGAGGTAGTCGAGAAGCGATTCGCAGGCCGAGGCATGCATGTGCGGGGCAGAGATGGTCGCACGGTGGCCGATGGGCTGGGGCGAATCTTCGTAGGGCGAGGATGGGGCATAGTGCGCGCGATCGACCTATGCATCTTCATATTTTGCCACCTTACCTGTGGTGTTGAGGCTTCCTACCTTTAGCATTGCATCCTTGACCCTGTCAGAGTTGATGAGCTTGTTGCTCGCAAGGTTGGTAACGAGAGCCTCATTAGTGTCACCAGAGCTTCGCCAAGCCATGCTGAAAGCTCTGCTTGATGTACGGCTACGCGTAGACCTGATGAAGAAGAATGGACCGCAAGTGCGGGTACGTTTTGTTAGGAAAGGCACCGTGGGTAGTGATACAAAGATGGAAGGCAATGAAGAGTGTATGGTCAGGTAGGTGTATTCGCACAGAAGGAATAGTATTACATGAATGTATTAGAGTGCCGGGATGACTACTCAAGGAAACACAACTGAAGTTTATATCGTGGTAAGCTGTTCCCCTCACCGAGTTTGAGTGAGGGGGTCATACATAAAGAGACGCGCATGAGCTGTCATGACCCTAGCACCCAAGCATGACATGACATGCTACATCCCTGCTTATCGATAAGGCACTCCCGCGGGAAAAGTTCCAGAGAAATTTCGCGTCGCATGCGACAACCTCCACCACGCGAAAATGGCACCACCCGCAATTAAACGAAGAAAGCTCGAGCACAGCGACTCGGAAGCAGAGAGCGAACGGAGCTTTGTCGACTTTGACGAAACCAATAGCCGTGCGGATTCGAATAGAAGCGACACTGAAGATGGGCATAATGAGAGCGACATCTCCATGGACGGCGCGCAAGAGATGGAGGAAGGCGACAATGACGACGATGAAAATGAAGATATGAGCGAAGATGAAGAAGAAAGCTCCGAAGCTGAGGAGAGCATTCAGGAAAGCAAGAAGCAGAACCCAAGCCCCAAGGCCACAAGCGCACCAAAGCCATCCAAGCGGCCAACACCTAGTCTCCAAGACGGCGTCTACAGTGCGGAGTCCTTCAAGTCAAACATTTTCAAGCTTCAGGTCGATGAGCTGCTTGAACAGGTCAAGCTCAAGTACGGCAAGAAGGAGGCGCCTGCTGAAAATGCAATGCGAACCCTCAAGACTATAATCGAGCAGATTCCTAGCCGCGACCCACTTCCAGTAAGCCAGGGTCGTTGTATACACTATCCGAGAATACTAACATACTATAGATTGTTGAGGCTGAAAAGGCGCTCAAATCAGCTGGTGTTGCGATTCCGTTCCCTAGCCCTCGCCCGCCGAAGGATGCTTTGTACAAACTACAATACGAGCGACCTGCGAGCGTAAACGTAACCGGTAGCTACCCCCTCAAAACTGCGACTCGAGCCGAAGAAAGATTTGGGATTGATCTTGTCGTGACCATGCCGAAGAGTCTGTTCCAAGACAAAGACTATCTGAACTACCGATACTTCTACAAGCGCGCATATTATCTGGCTTGTTTGGCGGCAGGAATCAAGGCCTCCAAAGAGCACAAGTTTGATTTGTTGTTTGATCGCTTGAATGGGAACCAGCTTCAGCCTGTTCTCGTCGTGCGACCGAGCGGCAACAGCGATGCGGACGATTTTTCTAGCTCAAAATGCCAGATCAACGTGCTGGTGGCGCTCCCAGAACACACTTTTGCTCAGAATAAGCTTCTACCGACTTCCAATTGCGTGCGACCCAAAGGCAGCGAAGATGAAAGTTCCAGCAAAACGCTCACAGCGACGCCTTTCTACAACAACAGCCTGCAATCTGATGCAAACATTACAGCATACCTAAAGCTCTTGCACGGCACTGCGTCGAAGGCTGAGTCTTTTAAGGATGCATGCATACTGGGGCGCGTTTGGCTGAAGCAACGCGGGTTTGGCAGTCAGATTCGCAAAGGAGGTTTCGGAAACTTCGAGTGGGCTGCCATCATGGCTATTCTGCTTCAGCCAAATTCTGGAACAGGTGCTCAGTCAGTCTCTTCAAGTTTCAGCAGCTATCAACTATTCAAGTCGACGCTGCAGTTTCTGTCGCGTGGAGATCTAACGAAGAAGCCGTTCATCTTCCAAGCATCCAACATCACTATCCCCAAGGCAGAGACCGCTCCTGTCGTCTTTGACGGACCACGAGGACAGAATGTGTTGTTCAAGATGACGCCCTGGTCGTACAAGCGTCTGCAATCGGAAGCAAAGGCTACTGTCGACATGTTGAGCGATTCTGTATTCGATCAGTTTGATGCAGCCTTCATTCTGAAGACTGAATTGCTCAAGTACCGCTACGATGCAACACTCGAGATTCCCCTCACTTCGCTCGGCCTTGAAGCTGGAAGCGGAGAATACGATTCGCAGCTTGGCGAAACCTGTCGAAGAATACACAGCACCCTGACCCGTGCGCTGACCGATCGTATCACCGCTATATCATTCACTTTGCCCGAGGAGGAAAGCTGGTCAATATCCTCAAGACGCCCTCAGGAAAAACAAAGCAAAAGCATTCTTATCAACTTTGAAACAGACCCTGCCAATGCCACTCGCACCGTGGATCATGGACCTCCAGCAGAAAACAAACAGGAGGCTGCTGTCTTCCGCAAGTTCTGGGGCGAGAAAGCCGAGCTTAGGCGCTTCAAAGATGGAAGTATTCTGGAGAGTGTTGTTTGGACGGTTAGGGACGCATCAGCGTCCGTCATGGAGCAACTTGTTCTTTACATACTTGGCAGACACCATGGCACACAGGTGTCTGAGCAAGCCAGGTTCACAATCGATGCATTTGGCCACCTTGTAGCAGCGGGCCGTATGCAGGGACAGTCTGGAACCGCGCCTTTTCTCCCCATTATGAACGCGTTTAGTGCCATGGAAAAAGACATCCGGGACTTGGAAGAGCTACCACTTCAACTTCGCCATCTGAGAGCTGCCGATTCACAACTACGGTACACGTCCGTTGACGTTCCCACTGTGGGCCACGCTCCGGCCTCAGTCGTGTTGCAATTCGAAGGTTCTGGACGCTGGCCGGATGACTTGTGCGCCATCCAGCGGACTAAGATTGCCTTCCTCCTCCGAATGGCTGAGCTTCTACATAAACTCGAGTCCGGCTATGTTGCCCGTGTTGGCATGGAGAATCCATCACAACCGGCGCAGAACCAGGCATTCTTGGATGTAACGGTTGCTACAGGTTTCACGTTTCGCATTCGCATCTACCATGACCGTGAGCCTACGCTATTCGAACGCCAAATCAAAGACAAATCATTAGACTCTCAATCACGCGAGTCTGCTGCTGCTTCTCTGGCACTGTACAAGCGCGAATTCATCCAATCGCCCCAACACTCACAAGCACTGCAGACGCTCTGTACCAGATTCTTGGCACTTTCACCAGCGATACGGTTGACAAAGAAATGGTTCGCGTCACATCTGCTCGCACCGCACTTTTCACCTGAACTCATTGAACTACTGGTTATACGGACGTTCCTACAGCCTCAGCCATGGCCTGTACCATCAACAGCAACGACAGGTTTCTTACGGACGTTATCGTGGATCAGCCGATGGGACTGGCGTCATGTCCCTTTGATCGTGGATTTCTCGACATCTTTCTCTGCCAATCCTGCCAATCTTGAAGACACATCTTTAAAGGGCATGAAGTCAGAAGATCTCGACCGCTTACGAACGCGCTTCGAGGCATGGCGACGAATCGATCCCGCCATGAACCGTGTCGTATTTTTCGCAGCTACCAACCTTGATGAAGAAGGCACCACTTGGACAGACAAAGCAAAGCCAGAAAAGGTTGTCGCTACTCGCTTGACGGCTCTGGCCCAAGCAGCTACGCAGGCTGTTCGCGCAGACGAAGATGGCTTCTTAAAGCATATCAGCAGCAACAAGGACGGGTCCAAAGCATATGATGGTCTAAGCCCAGAGGCCCTCTTCGTTCCCAGCTTATCAGAATTCGACATCGTCCTTTCCATCTCGTCAAAACACAGCCTCAAATCATCCAAATCCCGCAAACCCACCACCCAATTCAAGAACCTCGATCTCCAAAAGTCATCAAGTCCTTTGCCCGCACCGACCCCCCTGCCCCAGCTTTTTGCCGAAGAAATCTCAGAAGTCTACGGCGATGCAGTGCTGTGGTTCTGGGATCCGGAGAGTCTGGATAAGATTGTGGGACTGTGGAATCCGGTTGTTACGGGTCAGAGGAGCTGGAAGATTAAAGTTGGGTGGAATAGTGTGCCGGTGGGGAAGAAAGACAAGGTGGAGATTAGGGTGAATAAAGAGGCGATTGTGCATGAGGTTAAGAGATTGGGTGGGGAGCTTGTGAAGAGTATTGAGGCGAAGTTTTGAGCTGGCCATTGTAGAAAAATAAAATAGTATCGAAGTTCGAATTTTACCAAGTGCAATTGTTTTTTTCTCTCTCCAATCCACAATTACAGATCAGAGGAACTGATTTGTTTGATACTCGTAAGAATTGGAACGAATGGAATAGCAATATCCAATTATTCCTCACGAATCCCTGTTCTTGTTGCACTTACACGCAAAACAAAAGTGGCTCAGCCAGTTCAAGTGGGGATCTTGCACACTAACCCCGAGCTCTCTACTCCACCCTCACCTGCCACTTCTGGCTACGTCTTTCCATTTCGTAATTAGGCAACCGCGAAAACAAAAACATTCCATATTGCAAGACAAAGCAAGTACTCTGGTCCCTGGCACGTGAGCAAGGCTGAGCACAGCCTGGTATCCACTTGGGTTTAGATCCTGGAGGATGAAGGGTCTGAGCTTCAGACGCAGGCTAGAGCTAAATCAGGACTTTGGTGCGTATTTTTTTTTCTGACTCTATGGAGTAGCGGGGCTAGGATGAGGGTTTGGGGGTATGCAAAGAGAGGAATACGGTTAGTATGCTGAGGAAGGGGGAGTATAAAAAGATTGAGATGGGAAAGGCTGGGTTAGGGGGCGGAAGACTATTGTCGATGATAGAACTTTTATTCTCTTTTTGCTCTCTTTCTTTCTAAAGCTGTGTACTTTGCGAGATTGCAATTGGGGAAATGAGCTGCCACACGCCTTTTGGTTCGTTCGAGGGGTGGAAGGGGGATGGTGTGGTGCAGTATCGGGGTATCAAGTATGCGTTTTTGAGGGATCAGATGGCGGTTCCTCAGTTGGTTACTGAGTATGGGTCTGAAAGGGTGGATGCGACGGAATTTGGGTATGTTGGGTTTTGCTTCTCTCCTTTTTTCTCAATTTCCTCATTTCTGTAGATTTTCAGATTAAGTCTTTGGAAAGCTAATGTTTTGGTACAATAGGCCCCGCGCACCTGCAATGGATGGCTGCGCCTTTGAGCAATCTACATTGATACAGTGCGATATTGGCGGCGGTCCGGATCTTCCCATGTCAGGCAGGGAGTGTTTGAATCTGAATGTGACTATTCCTTCTGACACTCCTTTGTCTGGAGCACTGCCAGTCATGGTCTTTATCCACGGTGGTGGCTTCATTATGGGTGGGTCACACTGGCCGCAATATGACCCTTGCCGGCTGGTTAAGATGTCGGTAGAGATGAACATGCCTGTTGTGGTTGTCAACATCAATTTTCGCATGGGCATGCTGGGCAACCTAACCAGTGAGGAGTTGAGAAAAGCTGGATATCCTGGGAACAATAGTCTGAGAGATCAGCAGTGTGCGCTAAGATGGGTGAAGAAATTCATTGGAGGTTTTGGAGGAGACAAGGACAATGTAACGGTGTTTGGAGAGAGTGCTGGTGCTGGTGAGTCTGGTGTTTACTTGTTTGGTTCTCTGTTGAGTAAATGACTTTAAGGGAGATCGTATACTGACGTGAATTTAGTGTCAGTATTGCATCAGCTGAGTGCTGAAGAGCCACTCTTCAAGCGTGCGATTAGCATGTCCGGGACACCACTTATGCTTAAGCCAATGTCTGCCTCCGCCGCCGAAACATCTTATAACAACATTCTAAAAGCTCTGGGGCTCGAAAATGCTTCAACTCAAGAAATAATCAGCCGCTTTCTCAGCATCAGCCCGGAAGAGCTTGTTGAAAGAATACCCATAAATGTTCCCCTCATCCCTTTCCAGGACAACGATATTCTTCCTCAAACCCCGACGTTTGCAGACTTGCGAAACAACAACCTCTTGTCTTTGAACAACACATTTTGCGAAGAAATCTTCATCGGCTCTTGTGCTCATGACGGTAGCGTCTTCTTCTTCATGGGTCTATCTTCTCTCTTCCCAAACATTGCGTCGGCTCTCATCTCCTCCTTCTCTCATTCCCTTTCTGCATCGGCGGCTCAAATCGTCCTTTCTACATACGGGATCAACCTTTCGACACCCGACGACGAAGCAAAAGATTCCATAATCGACCTAGCTACAGACATCGCATATCATGCGCCTGCGCAACATTATGCTCGTGCCTTCAAAGGAAAGATCTGGGCATATAGATTCAATCAGGGAAACCCATGGGACGGGATGTTCAAGGGAAAGAGTACGCATCTGCTTGACGCGGCATTCTTGTTCCAGAACTTCAATGATCACATGGATGATGAGGCGAAGCAGACGGCCAGGAGGTTTGCAGAGGACTTTGTAGTGTTTGCGAATGGAAAGGCAAGTGTAATATGGGAAGATAGTGTGGAAAGACATTACGGTAAGGGTGGTTGTGAAGAGAATAAATTGGAGAAATTGGTAAGAGAAGAAAAAGTAGATTTGGATGAACTGAGTGGGGCGTGGGATATGTTTTTGGCTGGAAAATGAATTGGAGGTCATGGATTAGGAGTTGCGATGATATCAAGTAGAAATACTAGGTAAATTGGCATACCGAGTTTAGTAGCTTGATGGTGAGTGAATGCTTCACGAAGATTTGGGAATCGCGAGAAGGCGCTATGTTAACATCAACGAGACCGCATACCAACCACCTTTCCAAGTAGGACATAGGTTTTCGAATGTACATTATCAAATTCGACACGCTAAAATATGTCCATTGTCTAATCATTCACGTAGTAATACTGGAAAATACTGGGCAGGTGCCGAGAAATGGATAGGAATGCAAGATGATGAGAAACATCATGTGGTGCAGCTCCAACAAGACCAACTACATCATGATTAAAAAGTAAGCATCCCTATGATACTAGGTAAACTGCTTTGCGAGGTGTCCCACACGATTACGTCTCGACCCCTTTCACCCCGCACGTTCCAAGTAGTTCAGTGAGGGGTATTTCAAACTACCCCACGACAATGCCAGCAGGTCGCATGTGGGGTCACTCCATCACCATGTCTGCGCCCAGCAACGACAGCGACTCGTACAACCCAAACCGGAGAACTTATGGGCCCGGCAAAGATGCGTCGGATGTGGGCCTTTGATGTGCCGCCTCTTGACCAATTGTCGCGGCGGCACTTGTTACCCCACAAATCCCTTCTCCTACTCTCAGAACTCACTGGAAACAGAATCAGTATAGAGTCTTTTTTTGTGTGGTCATTTCGTCTCTCGCGTTGCCTTTTCTCGAATTTAAAACACAGACTCGGTTGGGTCGATAGCTTCGTGCATACTGTACTTCCATCCAACCCGTGCGCAAAGCAACAATGTCAAAACCCGTAGCCATCGTAACAGGCGCCGGCTCAGGAATCGGCGAAGCAACAGCAACCCACCTGCACTCACTGGGCTACAGAGTGGTCATCGCCGACCTAAATCCCACCTCAGGCCAACGCGTTGCCTCCGCGCTAGGCAAAGATGCCCTCTTCCACCAAACAGACGTATCATCCTACAAATCGCAAGCGCAGCTATTTAAGCGCGCCTATGAATGGGGCGGCAACCGGCTCGATTTCTGCCATGCCAATGCTGGAATCGACGATCGACAGAATGTTCATGAAAGCATGGACAAGGAAGAGGTGGATGAGGAGGGGTTGGTTAAGAGACTGAATACACAAACTATAGATGTGAATCTTGAGGCTGTGATTCAGGGGCTTTGGCTGTTCAAGTATTATGTGGGGAGGAGTAAGGAGGCGGGTGGGGGAAAGGGTTATTTTGTTGCTACGAGTAGTGCGGCGGGTTTGTAGTAAGTGTTTATTGTTTTTATCTCGCAATATCTGTTCAAGGGAAAAGAAGGACGGTACTAGTAATGGAGCTGGGCTAACGAGAAGAAACATAGCTTCATGCCGCAATGCCCCCAGTACACAGCCAGCAAATATGGCGTCATAGGCTTCGTCCGGGCTTCCGCCCCAAACTTCATCAATGAGAACATCACCGTCAATGCCATTTGTCCAGCGTTCATCCCGACAAACCTTTGCCCCCCGGAAGTAGCGGCGCGCTGGCCAAAAGAGCACATTACTCCATTGTCGACTGTGCTCAAGGCTATTGACGCTTTTTTGAAGGACGATCAATTGACGGGACAGGCGGTAGAGTTATCCCAGGAAAATATATATTTCAGACAGCCTGTTGATTACGTGAATGAGAGTCAGCGGTGGATTGGGCTCGAAAGCGGTAAGATCTGGAATGAAGGGTACAAGGAGCCACCAAAGAGAAATGGGTATTAAACTAGTCATGATTTCGTGATGGATATAAAAGAAAAAACCATGAAAACTGCTCTCATGATCAAAAAGGGAAGTTAAAAAAAACAATTGATCCATTTAAATACCCAATCCTTTCTCTTCCGCCATCCGACTTTCCTCCCGTATCATACTAGCATGCTTCTCGCTTCGGGGCCGGATATCGCATTCGAAGTGCTGGGGCACGCTGAAGAAACCTGGCTCCATATTCGCATTGACTGGAACCTCACTGCCGTCTTTGCCTTTTTTCCTCGATAGATTGAAACCCCAGAGGACGCGGGATACGTTGATGAAGAGAGAGCGCTCAGCAACGTGAACGCCAGGGCATGCGCGTCTACCTGCACCATATGAGAAGTGATCGCGTTCAGAGGGGTCGGCGGTGTTCATGTAATATGCTGCGGACGCGGTGTGATTGAGGTAGCGCGAAGGATCGAAAGCGGTCGGGTTAGACCATATATCGGGATTGTAGTGTATAGCCCTGTTCAACCCAGTTTTGCATCAGTTTCATAGCGATACAGAAGAAAGAACAACTCAAATGTCGTTGCAAGGGGGAAAATTGACTTACCACCAATTCAACACAACAACACTTCCCTTTGGGATAAACATGCCCTCATACCAATCATCCTCACTAGTTGCATGTGGCATCCCAAACTTATTCACAGGCCTCCACCTCAGTACCTCCTTGATCACACTCCGCACATACGGCAGATTTGCTTCGTCTTCCCACTGCGGCAGCCTCTCACTGCCAACCACGCGATCCAACTCCTCCTGCGCCCGTTTCTGCACCTCGGGAAACAAAACCATAGAAAGCATAAAGTTATTTAGCGTCGTTCCGGTGGTTTCGGAGCCTGCTTCGATCAGGCCGCCGCAGGTATACGCAGCAGCGAGATCATCGATACCCGCTTTGGCCGGATCGTTGAGATAGAAAGTCTTTGTGAAGCAGTCTTTGGCTATGCCGGCATCGGTCTCTTGTTTGAGTTTGTTCCAGAGGTCAACGTATACAGCGCTATCTTGTTCGAAGACGCGCTGGCCGTAGGATCGCCAGTTTCCCATGAGTGCCTGCGGGACCCATGTTAGGGATGGGAAAGACTCGATAGCCCATGCACCGGGCGAAGTCATCTCGGTGAATCGTTCGAGTACGCTGTAGATGCGCTTGATGAGGGGATCGTCCCAGCTGGGGATTCGATATCCGTATGTTACACGCATGATGACGCTGGCGGAGTAGCGACGGTTGATATCCATGAAATCGTTGGGGTCTTGCAGTAGCTCTTTAAGTAGGACTTTGCTTTCAAAGTCCTGTATCACCTGGTAGTTTGTGCTGGTGGATAGGTTGAGTAGGGCGTGGCTGTGCTTGCGAACACTGCGCCATCGTGGGCCGTAGGGCATGAAGAGTTGACGGCGCCCTGCAGATGCAACGTCCTGGGCTAGTGGAGAGGGAGGGCGCGAGGAGTAGATACCCGATTTTCGGTCCATGAGGTCTTTGACTACTTTGGGTGATGACAGCCATATGTAGTCTGTGCCTCCAATTTTCGTGTAAAAGATATCACCATACTGCGCGCGCCATGCGTTGACTGTGTAGCGTATAGCATCGTTGTCAGCGAGATCGAGGAGGGATCCAATAAAGGGGAGGCCTTTGGGTCCTGGAGGGAGATGACGGCGTCGTGGGTCCTATTGTTGTCACTTGTTAGTTTTTTTCGCAGTCAAGCGTGTAAGGTGGGCGTATTTGTACCTTGATGGAGTTTGGGACGATGATGAAGTATATAGCTAAGAGGGTGAGCATCGGTATAGCAATGCCCAAGGTAACTTTCAGATACAAGGGACTTGCCCAAACATTTCCAAAAATACCCAAAATAGCCATGGTAGAAGATACTCCTAATGATCTTGACTATTTCAAATTGAAAGATTGTTCTGTCTTTTTTTTCAACATCAAACACAACCTATTCATACTATTTTCTCGGTCAATCGGCTTCACCGGAGCCATTTGTTTCCCCTCTGCGAGTGAATCGCGATGCTGCATCGATCCGCGCGTGGGGTAGACGTGCATGATCCCCATTCCTCTGGGGTTTCCCCACAATGCCCCAGCCCCACAAAGTCGCGGTAGGGACGCAGGGATCCTCTAGTCTGACCCATTGTGTATACGGCAACTATGCGATTGCGCGAGCAACTGCTTATGAAACCCCTAAAATAGATTTATTTCAAAGTCCTTCTGCGCCTCATCTGATTCGTTTAGATATCCAGTGGAACACTGATTCAATAGCACCAAACTACTACCTGTTCTCCCTACCTAATTATACTGTTTCTAACTCGGTGTTGCTAAAATACCAACAATATCTGCAACAAAAAATGCCCCTTGAGCACTCTTCCTCAGGCCGGACCTACATCCTCCATCCCAATGGCCAAAAGTCCCACTACATCCTCAACGACTTCACCGACCCCTGGAAGCCCCACGAAACAATATTTATTCAACATGGATTCGGCCGCCATTCCGCATTCTGGTACCACTGGATCCCAGCGCTATCCCGCCACTACCGCGTTGTAAGGCGAGATTTGCGAGGACACGGGTACTCTAGTTATCCTGGCCAAAAGCAAAGAGTCACACCAACAACTGAAAACGGAATTGCTGAGAAGAGTGAGAGAGGAGAAAAGGGGGACTACGAATACAACATCGATACGATTGTCGGGGAGATAATAGATACGCTAGATCAACTTGGATTGCAAAAAGTGCATTTTCTGGGAGAATCAACGTCGGGGATGCTAGGTGAGATACTCGCAGCAAGGCATCCAGAGCGGCTGCTTAGTCTGACTGTATGCTCGTCACCTACGCATTTGCCGCCGCCAGCGCTGCAGATGTTTGCTTTCGGCTACAAAGATTGGCCTACTGCGTGCCGGCAGCTGGGGGCGCGCGGGTGGACGGAGGCGCTGGCCCAGGTACCGGGCACGATTCCCATTTCAGAGAGTGGGTATTTGCCGTGGTACTTGGGGCAAGTGGAGGTTAGCGATGGTGAAGGGCTGGCGCAGTATGCGGAGTTTTTGTCTACGCTGGATGTGAGGCCGTGGCTAGAGAAGATCAAAGTACCGACACTGATATTGAGTCCGACACAGAGTGCGGCTGTCAAGGTTGAAGATATGGAGGCTCTCAGAGATACAATTCCGGGAAGCCAATTGATACCGATGGATGGACCCGGGCACGAAATCTATGTTACACTAGCAGAAAAATGTCAGCAAGCATTTCTGGGTTTCTTGGAAAGGTTGAAGTAGAGAAATGACTACTGCTAAGCTAAGTTAACATGAGTTTTGATTACTAATTGACTATTTCATAATACAATGACCATGTCCAAGACAGGCTGAAGAAGAAATTTTCCAGTCCTTTCACAAGCAATCGCCCACCTTTGCAATCAACGCCGATTATGCAACCGTGAGCGGGTTTTTTTTCGCCATCCCCAATGCGCCGCTATAAGAAAAATATGATACACAATGCGTACAAGTAATTACACGAGCCAGAAAAGGATACAGACAATGACGCATCCTGAGGCTCAAGCATGTCGGGATTCTTGTTCTCGTCGTTTGTTCATGTCGAGGGCGATCTTCTTGCTGAACTCGTAGCAGCTGATCATGATGGCACAGGCCGGGGCGATTTTTAGACAACGAGCAGCCCAACCCTTGAACAGACCGGGCATACCTTGTTCGCGATAGATGTGCATCAGGAAGCGTGGTATTGACTGGTCCTCTGGGCGTGCTCTGGCGGCGTCGCGCGCACTGTCTCCCATATGGCGCACGACTTGCTGTCGTGTCTTTCCTACGTCAAAAGGTGTTGTGACAAAGGCGGCCACTGCTCCTGAGGTAGCACCCGCGACAAAGCTATCCACCAGGGTATCGCGGTGATTTTCCTGGCTTCTCGACCGGCTTCTTCTTCGTACTCTTTCTTCGCCTCGGCCCATGCGGAATTCGAACCCTTCGTCTCTTGCACATCTCCTTCCTCTTTGGTCTGTCAGGGTGTTCCTCGTAGTCTCATAACCCCACCAGTAAATGGCGGAAAAGGGCACGTCGCGCCAAAGGGTCAAAGTGAGACCTCTCCAGAGGCTGAGGACACCCTGGCTGGCGACCATGTTCCTGAGGCCGTCCAATGTCTCACGAAAGTGTCCAGCAGCGGTTGCTGGATGGTTTGCGGCCTGCATTCTTGTTCGAAACATTTCAATGGGACTGACGGCGATGGCAGCAAGGACGCGGGCAGTGGCTCCAGCGACGAGGGGTATATATGGATCGGCTATATTCCGGCGCAACGGTGATGCATTGGCTGTGCGTAGCCAATCGTAACCAGCAAAGTAGATGACGTTTGCTGGAACAGTCATGACCAGAGTTGGAGACAGCCCCCGCCAGAGTGTGCGGGGCCCCTCGTTCTGCGCAATCTTGCGCAGGCCGTCCCATGTGCTGTTGATGGTTCTCCGCTCCACCTCTTCTACAGCGCAGTGCAAGTCGGCGGGATTGATGGGTGCCATTGTGGGTCCAGCTACACAGAAGGGTGCTTTGTTGTTGACCCAAAAGACTTCTCTACAACATGCCGATATGCCGAGGTTGGGGGGCAGATCGCGAAACTGTGTTAGTGATGGGCCAGTGGCTCCGCTGGGTCGTGAGAAGGCAGCACTCGGGGCGGCCTCTTGTGATTGGAGTCGCACGCGGACGACATCGAGGGGCGTTACTGTCAGAGTCAGAAGAGATGTTTGCGAGACGAATAGCCGAGTGTGCAGGCGGGCAAAGAGGACATACCCAGCAACGAAGTGAGCAGACTGCCGGATACAGCAGACAGCATCTTCTGGCCCAGCGAGACTTCCGTGGGCGGGTTGGCGTCGGCCTCGTGGGCTCGCGCTGTGGCCGCAGCCATTGTGGTTGTGGTTGTGGCTGTGGTGGAGGTGAGGGTGGCGGGCTGGTGCTGAGTGTAGGATGGAAATTGATAAGCAAAGTAATAGTTGGTCGAGTGGCGGAGTGCGTGCCTGTCCCAGCAGAGGGCACGTGTTAGCCGGAAGCCGCACGGGGGGAGGATTGGAGATGGCAGAAGCAGGCGAAGGGCGTGGAGGGCATCGTCTGGTGCGGTGATGGCAGCCTACGAGTGGTGACGATGGCGAGGGGACGCTTTGACGCAACAAAAGTGAATTATCGGAGCTGCAGGCTTTTGGCGCGTCATGGGCCAGCCCCGCGCTCAACCGCCCATTGGCCCGCCCTGGAGCCGGCGCAGGAGACAGGCCGGAAGGGCGCGGAGCTTATCAGATGCGCTTGGCCGGCCTGCCGTCGTGCAGACACACACACGCTGCCTATCGGGTGGCGCCCGTCATGGTAGTGTCGACGTCTGCGAACGCCCTTTGTCCATCAAGCGCCCTTGCCCGGCTGTGCGCCCGGACTATTTGATTTGGTCTGCGCCGTGCTGGAGCACAGCAGCCTCTTGGTACACTACTTGCATGCGTGCCTGTGCAGACCCCTGCGTACATGCTGTCCTGCCAGCGTACACACCCGCCCGACCGCCCACCGTATCCACCGTAACTCCAAGTCCCGTGACCACGTGCGACTTCGGATATCCCGCATCTAACCGCTACCCACCACCTCCCGGCGGCCAACCAAGCACACCATGGATCCTAACGACGTACCCACAAACACCGAGGCCGAGCTCGAGTCCTTCCGTCGGAAATGGAGAGAAGAGGTCACCGCCCGCTCAAAGGCCCAGGCGCCTGCTGCATCCTCGAGCAAGCCCCGTCCAACCAAGGCCAATCCGCCGCAGGCTCAGTCTCACGCTCGCAAATTGAGTCTAGAGGGTGGCGACGAGGTGCAGTCTTACACATACCATAATCTCGACGACAAGCAACATGGCCGGAGACTGGACGAAACCCCCGCCCAGACCGCTGCCGCTCTTGCAAAAGGCAAAGAACCTACCTCTGCCCTGGAGCATTATGAGAAGGCTGTAGAAAAGGAGAGCCAGGGCAATCTGGGCGAAAGCGTAGACTTGTATAGAAAGGCTTTCAAGGTGGGTTGCATTTGTATTGTTACGGTACAACTTCTCAGCTGACTCTCTGCAGCTCGACTCTAGAGTACAGGATGCATACAAAGCAAAACATTATCCACCATCCTACTTCAAGAAGCCTCAAGTACAACACACACCTACTGCTGCTTCATCTTCATCAACAGCTCAAGCACCGGCACCGGCACCGGCACCGGCATCGAAACCACAGGATCCAAATCCCTCCAATGCCTCGGTCACGGTACCAGACACCGCCCACCACTCCCTCCATGGCTTTTCCTCTTCTCTGCAGACCCTAATCAGCGCATACTCACAAACCTCTATTCTCGGAGAGCCTCCGCCAACAGATCTCAGTCCCGCACCACCATGCCCCATTGCCAGTACCCCCGAGGAGATAGTCGTCGAGATTCTCGAGCAGCTTGCCGTGCAGGATCTGGCCTCGTTTGTCCGCCTATCCCAAGTATGCAAACGCCTTGCCTACTTGGTACTGACCGAAGACCGAGTCTGGAAACGTCTGGCCCTGGGTGACGAGTACGGCTTTGGAGGCATGCACTACACCTATACCTGTGGGATTGACGGCAAACCGCTCGAAGACGAGGAGGGCATCGTTCTCGGCACCGCAGACCTCAGTCTTTCAGACTCTGACGACACAGAACAATTTACTTCGGGCCCAGCTCCCTCTCCAGCAGCGCTGACACAGCTCCTGGTTCCCTCACCCTACCCCAGCTACCGCACTCTGTTCCGCCAACGACCCCGCATCCGCTTCAACGGATGCTACATCAGCACAGTAAACTACGCCCGCCCCGGCCAGGCCCAACCCACAACCTCAACCTGGAACTCGCCCATCCATATTGTCACCTACTTCCGTTACCTACGCTTCCTCCGCGACGGAACCTGCATCTCGTTGCTGACTACCTCGGAACCCCCAGACGTAGTACCCTACCTGTACATTGAGCACCTACACAAAAACCACCATAATCTCCCCACTGCCCCCATGAAAGACGCAGTCCTCGGTCGCTGGCGCCTCAGTGGCCCGGAAATCCCCTTGCCGCCTGGCCAAGAGGCTCTAGACGTCGAGACGGAAAAGGAAGGAACTTTGCATATCGAGACACCAGGCGCAACACCCAAATACATATATAGAATGGCCCTCACCGTCGGCAGTGCGGGAAAAAACGCAAAGATCAACAGACTTGTCTGGCAGGGCTATTGGAGCTACAACCGTTTGACAGATGATTGGGCAGAGTTTGGCTTGAAGAACGATCGCGCCTATTATTTCAGTAGAGTCAAGAGCTATGGCATGAGCTGGGATGAAAGGGGTATCAAGCCCTATTCCTAGTAGACGCTGGCTGGCCTCTTGTTGCACTGCACTTCACTGCACTGCATTGGATAGAATAGACAAAGAGTGTAATAAACACCAGCAGGTGTCTCTGGTTAGGATGAGCTCTTGGTGGATTTCATCATGTAGATTTTGTCATCTTGTCGTCGTCTTTGGGCATTATTCATAGACAGCCGGGCTTCACAAATCGCACACCTTCAGCATTCCTCTATCCTGGTATACATTGCCTCCCTCGCCCCCCCTTTCAACCCTTTACCGTCGGGGCATGCCACGGCCGCGGCCTCGACCGCCCCCACCAAGCGCCCTTTGTGCCGCACCGGGCGGAAGTGGCTTGTTGGGTGCTTGTGGCTGCTGTGATTCTTGGTTCTCTGTATACCCGTTAGTGTCCGCTTCTTCGTCCCTCAACACTCAAATATCTTACTAATTGTCTCGTCAACGCTCAGAATCAGGCAGGCAGCTTCCGTCGCTGCCTGCAGAGCGTTGATCTTGACCAGGCTAGGCTCCCACACAAATCGCTCCATGTTGTTCGCTATGCTCTCCGTAGTAAAGTCGACACCGGCCCAAATGTTTCCCTTCTTGTGCTCCACACGTAGTCGGTTGAGAATATCCGTCGCATCCACACCGGCATTGTCGCACAGTTGTCGGGGAATAACTTCCAGAGCCTTGGCGAATGCCTTGATAATCGGTTGCTGCTTGTGAGGAATATTGCTGTCGGCATAGTTGTGGAGGTAGGAAGAAATCTCCATCTCGACTGCACCTCCTCCAGCAACAATGTTGCGGTTCTTGATCGCACGCTTGACAATCATGATGGCGTCGTGCAAACTTCGCTCAACCTCGGCGATGAATTGTTCTGCGCCACCACGGAGCACCAGTGTGCAAGTCTTGGCCTCAGGGCAGCCTTCAAAGAAGTTGAAGCGC